GCAGGAGCTGGAACAGCACAGCACCCCCCCCCTTCCCCAGGGGAAACACCGCGTCAGGGAGGCTCCTCTTACCCATCTACTTTCCCTTTCGTGCCATCCAAGACCTCGACTTCGCCCTCATCAGCAAGACACCAGTTCACTGAGGACTCCTTCGTCTTGCCCGTCTGCCTGGCCGAGTCGTACACGCTGACGCGCCCGACCTGCACGGGGGAAGGGGTTCTGCACACCCGTCCTGCTGCCAGCCTGGGGACCCTCCTGCCCCCTCCAGCCCCTGCAGGCGGCAGCTCAGCTCATCCCAAACTCCTGAGAACAGGAGCTCTGGGGTCTTACTCAGCTGAAGGCTGCAGGGGTGGCCTTGGTCTCCTCTCTCTCACACAAGGTCACTGCCAGTAACCCCCAGACACTGTGGGATGACACAGCTCCTGCCAGAAGCCTGGAGCCAGGGGGGGGTCGGGCTCTGCTCCCAAGGAACAAGAGACAGGACAAGAGGAACCAGCCTCAAGTTGCCCCAGGGGAAGTTGAGGTTAGAGCTGAGGAACAATTTCTTGCCCTTGAGGGTTGCCCAGGTCAGTGGTGGAGTCCCCACCCCTGGAGGGGTTCCCAAGCCCTGGAGATGTGGGGTGAGGGACACGGGGCAGTGGGGACCTGCCCGTGCTGGGGACACAGTTGGACTTCATGAGCTCAAAGGTCTCTTCCAGCCAAAACCATTCTGTGATTTTAGGGTCAGGTTTCTGGCCATGGACCTCCTGGCCCTGTCTGGAGAAGTGCTGCCAGGTGAGCCCTGTGCAGAGCCCCTCGGAGAGGCCTGGACCGGGGGCAGAGGTGGGCGGGGAGGGCGCCAGGCCCGCGGTACCTCGGGGTGGTTAATGCGATAGGGAGCCTGGAGCTTCTCCTGCAGCACGCTCCCGTCCCTCGCCAGGCGGCAGCAGATGGCACGGGTCAGATGGCCCTGGCTGTACAGGTAACCTGGGAAGGGAGACAGGAGGGTGTCAGGGAACGGGGCACGGGTGAGGGACGGGCCAGACCCCGGGAGTCACAGCGCTCACACGTGGATCACAACGGCGACGTGCACCCTCCACGTGTGAGATGAGGGTTTACAGACTGTAGCGTTTCTCACTGAGGATACAAACAGGCAGTTCTGGTCTCACTCTCCTGGATCACATGTGCCTTCTAAAAAAATCAATCTCAGAGAAAATCCCACTCCGCCCACAGCATCAAATCCACAAAGTCCCTTTTCCCTGCCGAAGAGCACAGCTCTGCCACATCTGTTACTCCTACTGCCTCCACAAACGAGCCATTCCAGCCCTGGGGACAGGAGGTTACTGCTCACCACAGCCCAGCCCAGCCCCGACGGTGTCTCTCGTACCGAGCGTGACGGAGCTGAGATAAACTGGCTCCAGGAAGTGTGAGAGCAAGGCCCCCTGCAAGCCCAGGACGTTCCAGCGCAAGATCTTGTCGCTGCAGGACATGGTTCTCAGCCGCTCCCCGTGCTGGATCCCGTCCCACGTGGGCACGATGTCGCTGGACTCCACGGGGATGGTGCCCTCCCCTGCACAGGAGAGGAAGGAAGCTTTTCTGTGAGGAGTCAGAGACTCAGTAAATCAAGACTCCATCAGCAACTGCACAAGAAACCATCTCCTCTGCGCAGGCGTGGTGGCCTCTGGAGTCTGCCTGTCCCCAGGTTCTGGGAATGTTTCAGCATCCCGTGAAAAAGGGAACATGGTGCTGAGTACACAAGAGTCATTTGTAACGTGGCTGAAGCAGGATGAAATAGAGACACACGAGCTCTGCAGCAAGCTTCAGCCGTACTCTCCCTCCAGGGGCAGATGAAGAAGCAGCGCTGGGAAGGAGAAGGGGCTCTCCAAGGCCCCCACCCCTTTCACCCACCTCCCCCAGGTCCCGAATGCTTCAAATCTCACCAGACAGGGAGGGGGAGGGGAACTCTGGAGCTGTGGAAAGGCCCAGAGGAGAGGAGCAGAGCCAGCCCCCGTGCAGGGAGGGAAGGCACCCACCGTTCTCCACCTTGGTCCGCAGCTTCCCTTGCTTGGTGGGGGGTGCGCCCCCGCCACGCTCGCCTGGTCGCTGCAGGACTTGTCAAAGAGTGCCCCGTCCCCACAGGGAGCTGTGCTGGAAAACAAACGCTCCCCAGGTCAGCGCCGAGCCCGGGCACCAGCGGGGGCAGGGGTGGGACAGAGCCGCGGGCACCGGCCGCCCCCGCACCAACCTGACGTAGAGGTGGAAGGTAACGCTGCTCTTCACCCTGAGCCGTGCCCCCCCTGCCGGCTCAAAAATGCTCTGCTCTGCTGAGGAGGGGTCAGACGGGTCGTACTTCATCAGCTCGCTGTACAGAAACCTGGAAAGAACGACAGTCAGAGGCTGGGCCGCCCCCCCCTACTGCCTGTGCCCGGCACGGGCAGGTCCCCAGCTCTGCCCCTGTCACAGCAAGAGGAGCTGGGGCTGAGAGCTCTTGGGAGCCAAGGAAGAGCTTTGATGCTAGAGAAGGTGTGAAATGGAGATTTCCTGCCACGCAACAGAACACGGGCATCCTGTGGGGTGAGCAGAGGGAAGGGAGCACTGGCAGGAGAGAGGACGGAGCCTGGCTGGCTGCTGCCCTCCTGCATCTGATCCCGGCCTGAAGAAGACTTCAAGGTTGTTAACCCAGCATCTTTAGTCAGCACCAAGTTTGCATCAAGCACAAACAGCCCCACGGGCAGCTGAACTAAGGTGGTATCATTAGCACAACCCCATGATCTGTTTACAATGACTGGGTCTTTTATGGCTGCTTCTGTCTGCGGACAGGGAAAAACCTTGAGGTCTCCAACACTGCACCAAGGACTAAGGAAAAACTGCAGCTTCCCAGAGACTCCAGTAGAGCCTGCGCAGGGCCCGATTTTGCCAGGAGAGATGAAGCTCCCTGCTCCCAGCCCTGACAGGCTCTGCTGTGTCAGAGCAGCCAAGAACGTCAAGATGAAGAGCTGAGACAGAGCGTGCAAGTGCAGCCCTCAGACTGCACAGCTTCCCAGGGCCCTGCACTCAACACCTCCCGGTGCCGAGGGACACCCAGAGGACAGCACAGCAGGCAAAGGCTGCAAGAAAGCAGCTGGCTCTGCTGTTCCCAACTGGAAAAGCAGAGACACCAACAAGGCCAGTCCCACTGCACCTCACTCTGCTTTTAAGGAAAAGGTGCAACGCGGAACGCTTACAAAGAGAACGGTTTGGTTGGGAAAGCCCTTTCCAACTGAGGAGAAAGGGTTTGACTTATCACCTCACACACATGTGATACATGTTCCTGAAGCCTTTGCAGCCAGATGCAGAGGGGCCAAGAGGGGCCCTGGCCTCAGTCCCACCACACCTCAGCTCAGGGCCTGGCTGGGGCCAAAGTGCCTGTGCCAGATGATGCTTTATTTTAGGTACATCAGATGCAGCCCTTGGGCTCTTGGCAAGTTTCCAGTTTGGTTCTAATTTGGGTAGCAATCAGGCATGGCCCCTTCTTATCAGAAATAACATCCCCCTTTTAACAGCACATGGGTAAACACTCGTGTTAGAGGGTCACAGCCTCTCAACACAGCAAGGAACCGTCTCAGCCACAGCGCTCCAGAGCGGGTCAGCCCCTCCAGCCAAGCCCCTCTCCTCTGGGCTTCCCCTTCTCACCTCACAAAGCCTCTCCGAGAGATGATTTCTGCGTGACAGTCATTCACTGTCTCCCCCTTCAAGCTCAGCTCTTCTCCTTTCACACAACGATTACCTGAAACAAATAAATAAAAAGAAAGGGCAAGTGTCAAAGTCAACACAGAGCTTCACAGAAAGGAGAAGGATTTCATCTTGCTTCAAGTCTTACTTCTTTGGGCTGCTGAGAGGCAGCATCCTGACTATTAAACCACTCCCCTGACCCAAGCAGTTAGGAAAACAAAAGGACAAAGAGCACACACTGCTTAAGGGACGGAGACTTAAGAGCAGAGACTTAAATCGCCACACACGTAGGGGCAGCATCCCTCCCCGCGCCCCCTCCCACTC